TCTCTCTCTCTCTCTCTCTCTCTCTCTCTCTCTCTCTCTCTCTCTCTCTCTCTCTCTCTCTCTCTCTCTCTCTCTCTCTCTCTGCCAACCAACGCAGCCCGACGTCGCATCTACCGACCACTTCGAATTTGAATTCGTGCTGCCACTGCTGCAAGGGCGTCACGGAAAGATGCATGCCCCTCGTGAGGGCATTTCGAGGATGGACAGACGAAATGCCACCAGCGGTCCAGTAAGGGCATAGTGGAAAGTTACACCCCAATGCTGACAAGGGCCTGCGGAAAACTGCAGAGGGCCCAGGGGCATGACAGGGTAAGTCGGTCGTCGGAGGGGCATGCTGCAAATTAATCGAAACTCCAGGGGCATTTCAAAAATTTCCCTTTTTTTTTTCAGCCGTTCAGATTGGAACGATGCAAAAAAAAATTCTCCAATATATAATACTCTAAAGGAAATAGAGGGTCTGACATCAGTGTCCCACGCAAGCCCCCGTTCACAATGTTGGGAAAGTACGAAACGGGCCCTGTGGGGAGGGGCCGAGCACACCCCCTCGGCGCCTGGTTTTTGTTTCCCGTTGGCGATGAGTGTTCAAACATAATTTTTCGGCGGTTCCTTTTTTCGCGCCCGACTATTGGTTCGAGTCTGGCAGTGAGTGTTCAAATATTGTTTTTCCATGATTTTTTTCCCGAGTTTGGCAGCGACTGTTCGGGTCGAGCTTGGTTCGGGCCTGTGTGAATGGAATGGAGTTTGGGCGGCGCGATTATGTGCAACAATAGTGTGGGCGGGAGACTGTTGTTGGGGCGGTTGATGAAAGGGGTCTTTTTGGCCGCGAGTTGTGGACTGAATCTACAAAGGTTACACCTCCTTCAACCGTGTGGAAAGAAGACTGTAGCAGACTGTTTCTTAGATGGCAACAGAAAGTCACCTTCTCCAACCTCCCTTTCATTTCTATAAAGTGGCTTCTCTTTTTCATCCACAGTTTTTTTTCCGCCATAGAGACCAAAGTAGGAGGGCTACAATGGGTACACCTCCACGAATGCGTCCCAAAGCGCTATGCTGCACAGAGAGGGGAATGGAAGTCTCAAATACCTGCCACATTTATCCCCATTCTAATTTAGAGGATTGGCTTCCCCTGTGGTGGGAATGCGTGATAGCAAAGGGCTTTTGGAACTTTCTGAACAAAATCTGGCTACAGGCATATGGCACATCAGACTTCTGGGATAAAAATATGGTCATCACAGGGAAGGTGCAAGCGAAATTTTACAAAGAGCAGGCCGAAACAGTGTCGTTAATCTTCAGCACAAGGGGCTTCTGGCAGTTATGGCTAGCCAGAAGAGACATGAGATTTCTATCAGTTAACAACCCCAATCCCTCACTGATCACACAGTTCAAACTGTAGTTGTTTGTGAGATTCGCCTGCACTCTCCCTGTGATTACCATATTTTTGTCCCAGAAGTCCGATGTCTCATATGCCTGTAGCCAGATTTTGTTTAGAAAGTCCTAAAGGCCCCTAACAATCATGCATTCCCACCACAGGGAAAGACAATCCTCTAAACTATCGTCTTAACCTGAAAACAAGGTACGTACCTTGTAGAACGAATTTTAGGGTTCAACTTTCCTAAGGCGAGGGGAAAAAACTCCAACGAAACAGTTTGTCACAGCCCCTCGTTTGTTGTCCTCTTCTCCCTCTCTGCCTACGGTTTACCGGGCAGTTCTATTTGACGATATATATGTAACGATGCATGTATATCTATATATTTATATATCTATATATCTATCTATATATATATATATATATATATATATATATATACAGGGTTGCCAGGCCTAACGTACGGAGGCCCTTAAGCTGACCCCCAAACGTTCGGGCGTTCGGGTCCCCGTACGGGGCCCGAACTTGAAGGGGTTTGGACCCCGCAAAAACTTATTTTGGCACCCCAATATTATTATTTTTTTCTGAATTTTTTTTTGTGAGTTATTTGTGATGTAAGGTATCCCCGGATTAATTTTGAAGTCATTCTCTTTAGCCAAAACAAACTGAAAAATCCTCAAAGGTGGTGGTGTCAAAACTTGCTTGCCCACTCACAAATTTGTTTTCTCTCTCTTTTCACTTTTTGTTTTTTCTTTATTTCGGGGTATAAAATAATTAATTATTTTTTCAAACTTTATTCGTAGATTATCTATTATGTAAGCTACATATATATAAATTTTCATGGCATTTGTCACAGCCAAAACAAAATGAAAAATCCACAAATATGGTGGTATAAAAAGCGTGCTCGCCCACACAATAATTTAATTCTCGTTTTATTTTTTCTAATTTTTATTATTATTATTTATTTTAGTATTTGCTTTTTATTTCAAATTTGGTAAAGAATTTGGATATAACGTTGAGGCAAATGTTGTTTAGTTTATTCTTCTGCATAACATATAGTTTTTCAGTTTTTTTTTTTTTTTTTTTTTTTTTTTTTTTTTTTTTTTTTTTTTTTTT